CGTGGCGCCCACGCGGAACTCGAACGCCTGCAGCGCCTCGAAGTCCAGCGCCCTCAGGGCGAACAGGTGGCCGTTGTCCGCGTTGATGGACACCAGCGAGGCCAGGGGCAGCTGCGGGTCGTGGGGCGGCAGCAGCGAGTAGGTGAGCTGGGCGTTGGCGCCCGCGTCTCTGTCTGTGGCGCTGACGCTGCCGATGTGCAGGGCGGGGCTGTTGTTCTCGCGGAGGAACAGGGTGTAGGAGGTTTGAGTGAAGGCGGGGGCGTTGTCGTTGACGTCGGAGACCAGCAGGGTGATGTTGTGCTGGGTTTTCAGCCTGGGGGTTCCCAAATCAGTGACAGTGATGGTGATGTTGTACTCCGCTTGGCTTTCTCTGTCCAGAGCTCCTTCTGTCATTAGAATGTAAAAATTCTCCACAGAGGGTTTCAGAAGGAATGGCAGGTTATCTTGGATGTAGCAAACCATTTTCCCATTTTCTCCAGAGTCTCTGTCTTTAATCCTAAAAACAGCCAATATCATCTCAGGAGAGTTCTCAGGAACATGGTTGGAAAGTGATGACATGATCAGCTCTGGGGGATTGTCATTGGTGTCTAATACCTCAACCAAAACCGTACACCTTGCAGAAAGGCCGCCACCGTCGACTGCCTGTATATTTATTTTGTAAGACTTTACTAGCTCATAATCAAGCAACACTCTGAGAACGATTTCCCCAGAAAAGGGATTGATTTGAAAGGTTGAGCGAATATCTTCAGAAGCATCAAAAAACGAATAGGCTATGTCTGCATAGACTCCAGAGTCTACATCTACTGCAGAGACTGTAGCAATAATGGAACCCACTGGGCTGTTCTCTGGAGCCTGGGTCTGGTAGATTGCCTGAGAAAACTGTGGGGCATTGTCATTGACATCCAGGATCACAATGCGTATAGTGGAAGTCCCAGATCTGGGTGGAGACCCGCCATCCAGCGCCGTGAGTGTTAAACTGAGCTCTTCCTGCTTCTCCCTATCCAGCGTCTTGTCCAACACTAGCTCTGGATATATCATGCCTTCATCACTGTCACCAATTTTAATATGAAAAAAAGAGTTGGGATTGATGGTGTAGTTTTGGATACCATTAAGTCCTCCATCTGAATCCTGTGCTCTTTCTAGTCGAAATGTTGCCCCTTCAGCTGTATTTTCTATTATTTTTAAGACTGTTTCTTTGTCTTGAAACACTGGTGAATGATCATTTATGTCCCCAACCCTCAGCTCAGCCCGGTAAATCTGAAAGGGGTTATCCATTAAAATTTGGAAATACAGTATACAGGGTTCTGTGGAGCCACACAGCTTCTCCCGATCCAGTATCTCATTTGTGACCAAATCCCCAGTATGAGAATCCAGGAGCAAGTGTTGTTTGTTATCATCAAAGACCACCCGGGCTCCCCTTGCAACCAGCTCCCGATCCCCTAGCCCCAGATCCTTTGCCAGATTGACCACAAACGATCCTCTCTCTGTTTCCTCTGTCACTGAATATCGTCCAAACACAGATCCTGCCAAGGATACTCTCCAAAACAGAAAGAGAAACAGGACTTGCCTTTGTCTTGGGTAGCACAACCCTCCAGCCTCCATAGCTTCTTCTGAACACATCTCTTGTCAATATCGGTCACAATCACAGCTCCCAGTACAAAGAAACAGCAGTTGCAAACCCCAGACCTACACCATGTAGTGGCAGGGGTCTGGAATTGTGTTTTCTTTCCGCAGTCTTGAGCAGCTATGGCTTTTCTCCCAGCCTGTCTGCTGCGTTCTTCCTTTTTTTTTGTTAGTGACTTCTGCAGCATTCTTAGTTCAATTCTTTATTCTGTCTCTTTAGCCTGCAGCGCCACCTCCTGGCTTCCAACAGATTCAAATGGCTGTACCCAAAGTGTGTGCATATATATTTATACATTTCTTCCTTAGTGGATCATTTAACTATTCCATTTTTTGTGTATGTTTTGTAAAATATAATGTTGAGACAGAAAACTGTTCAAGTTGTTGAGATTTTTCATTGCTTCATGAGGAAAGTAAAAAGAATAGTTGCAAAAAGAATGTTTCTAGCGGTTAACTCTGTGCGCCTCATTGTGCTATATTTAGCTGTGTACTGGGCCTTCCACTTCTGAAACTACCCCCGTGCAATGTCAGGAACCAAAGGGAAAACTGTAGTGACTTCTGAGATCACCAAAATAATAGGTTTTCCTTTTTCAGAAACATTGTGGATAGGAACATCAAGAACTGACCAAAGAAACTTGTTTCACAGTTTCTTCAACAAATTTCTTCAAAGCATAATTACACTGCCTAAATAGAGTCATCACTCTATAATCTAGAAGAGAGCATTTAAGTTGTCCCTTCTCCGTGCTACCATAAAATCTTGTATAACTCTCCTGTACATATTATTGCTTCCTGTTTCATGCCAATCTGTTCCTACTTAGGGATGGAAACTATGTCTTTGTCATCTTTGGTTGGCAAATCAGACACTCACTAAATGCTTGCTGTATTCAGGCATGCATAAATGAACCTTTGAGTAGGGTAAACACAATTTTCAGTGTCTTTAAATACTTGCTATTTAAAAATTGTATTTCTTCACTTATTCTATGCAATTTTGTTTCCTTTCTTTAATATGTATTTGTTTTTCTTACCTTAGCTTTAAAGTTACTTGAAGAATTAAAAAAGGGACTGACCTTTGTGTTAATCGCACCCTTAATTCAAATATAGTGGGATTTAATTTCTCTTCATCAAAGACAGAAATGCAAAGAGTAGACCACATGAATGCCTATTCTAATACCACTGAAAATAAGAACAGCATTGTAACACCTGCCTCATATAGACTTTTATTAAAAAGCCTAATATCTAGAAAGAAACTGTTTTTCTGTTAATAAATAAGAAATACAGAATAAATGGAGGTATATTATACAGGGAAAAGGCCAGCTACTTCCAAAAACACTCTGATTATTGAACATAAAAGCCACACTATATAAACTTCTGCTTGCTGATTTCTACTGTTTTCTTTTCAAGTGAATAGGACTGCGTTGTTAGTCATTAAAAACTTAATAAGGATCTCTAAATTTTTCATTCAGAATTAAAAGAAAAAATTATTAAATATTTCTATATGGTGCTGTAAAATGCCTAAACTTTGCTTTTTTTGTCTCCAAACTTAAACACATATACACGCATTTGATATCTTACAATGTTGTTTCTTCATATTTTCAGATAAAGCTGATTAGACATTTATTTATTATATCATAATAGGAATACTATATATTAAATAGGCAGATACTAATTCAGGGAAAATAAAACTTTTTAAAAAAAGAACATAGTTTCAGAAAATTGGTATAACAAAAACTGAGATTAAAAACTAACAAATATATCAGTTTTAAAAGGAAAATAGCCCGGGCCCATCTTGCTAAGTGGTTAGAGCGTTGGCCCCTTCACTGAAAGGTCACTGTCCAATGCCCAGTCTTGTAGAAAAAAATCAATAAAATATATTAAAAAAAAAAGAACATAGTTTCAGAAAATTGGTATAATAAAAACTGAGGTTAAAAACTAACAAATATATCGATTTTAAAAGGAAAATAGCCCGGGCCCATCTTGCTAAGTGGTTAGAGCGTTGGCCCCTTCACTGAAAGGTCACTGGTCCAATGCCCAGTCTTGTAGGTTCTATCCCCTAGTCCGTGGGGCTATTGGTGAGGCACATGTGAGATATCAATATTTCATGCTCTCCCCTTCCACTCTCTCTAATAATCAATGGAAAAAATGTCCTTGGGTGAGGATTAACAAAATAATAATAAATAAAAGGAAAATAGAAGTATTAGAAAATAAATGTACAGATCACAAGCAGCAGATTATTTTAATAATTGAAGTTCTAGAAAAGAACAAAAATGTAAATTAAAAGTCAACAACAACATTAATAGGGTAGAAAAATTGAATGATATCAATTTTAAGGTAAAATCTATTTCATTCATTGACATTCTATTGAAAAATACTTCGCTGGGCCAAAGAATAAGGAAAGGAAAACTTCTGGAGTTAAGCATAAAATTGGAAAGTGAGGGTGAAATAGAGAAAATTAAACAACACCTTATTGGTGGTGGGCCAAAACAATCTAGTTAGTTGACAAAATATGTTAGAGGTAATGTCTTTATTAACTAGGTTCCTATCAATAATTAATTCCCAAAGCTATTCCAAAAGAAGGGATTTTCTTCCACTACCCACATGTTCTGGGATTTGAGATTGGGGATAACTAGTTTTAGCAAATTATACTGGTCCCTGAACCTCCCCTCTGACATACCTCAGTATTCCAAGAATAATAAATTAAAATTAAAAAATTTATTGGATATTGAATCCAAAGCTATTCCTAAAGTTCTCATTTTCCTCTATATTCTTACCAGCGTCATGGACTGGAAGATTGGGAATAATCGGCTTCAGAAATTTAAACTCATCTGTCCCAGTACCTCCCGTGAGACACACTTCATACTGGTAGCTCTGGGACAGGGTCCCAGTACCCGTAACATCCACCAGGTGGCCCGGAAAGTGTCCCTCAGGCGCCGAACAGCCACCCACCCAGGCGGCCCTGCTCCGCCTGCACAGCCGCACCGCGATGAACGCCAGCACCGAGAACAGGAACAGCGACGACACCGACGCCAACGCGATGACCAGGTACACGGTCAGCGGGTCGGCCTGCGCCTGGTCGGCCGCCACTTCCGGCAGCGGCAGGTAGGGCTGCGAGAAGCCATCCACCAGCAGCACGTGCAGCGTGACGCTGGCAGACAGCGCGGGCTCGCCATTGTCCTTGACCAGCACCAGCAGCCTGTGCTTGGCCGCGTCG